TGAGGTTGTGGACAGGTGTCTTTTATACTGATAACAAGTTCAAACAGGTGCCATTAATACAGGTAACGAGTGGAGGACAGAGGAGCCTCTTAAAGAAGAAGTTACAGGTCTGTGAGAGCCAGAAATCTTGCTTGTTTGTAGGTGACCAAATACTTATTTTCCACCATAATTTGCAAATAAATTCATTAAAAATCCTACAATGTGATTTTCTGGAGAAAAAATTTCTCAATTTGTCTGTCATAGTTGACGTGTACCTATGATGAAAATTACAGGCCTCTCTCATCTTTTTAAGTGGGAGAACTTGCGCAATTGGTGGCTGACTAAATACTTTTTTCCCCCACTGTACAGGGGGTACCGGTACCGAGTTAATGTGCTGGGGTACAGGTTAGTCGAGGTAATATGTACATGTAGGTAGGGGTAAAGTGACTATGCATAGATAATAAACTGAGAGTAGTCCGGGTGGCCATTTGATTAATTGTTCAGCAGTCTTAGGATCAACCTAACTAACAAGGTGTCAATATTTAATAACTAAAGAACAAAGTCAATTTCGCACATTTGTTTTTGTCTTGGCATGGCACTGATTTCTTAAGACACTAGCTGCAAATGGGGACATGGGATGGGTAGCGTTTAACTTTAATGTCATTGTTTTTATGAACTAAGTTGAAGAGAAACTTGATATGCATAGCACTACCTAAAACTAAAATAAAACTAACTTTAAAACCAAATGTTAGGCCTAAGTGGGTTTTTTTGTTAGGCCTAAGCAGATTTTATGAGCTAGGTCTATTTTGATGTTGATTGTGAAGTTTCGGAGAGCTCAGTCCCTACCTGCAGTATGGTCGCTGTCTGTCCTCAAGGCAGTGTTTTTCTGTCAGCGAGGAGGTAAAAATGCTTCCTTAACATAGCCTGGTGTCATCCGCTCCAATGACATGGAAGCAATCTCACACTCCTCCATTTCCTTCTTTCTGTGGTATTTTCAGAGCCAGCTAAGAATAGGCCAGAGATGGCTCTCTCAGGTCACAGCAAGCAGCCAGCTAAGAATAGGCCAGAGACAGAGACATAGCCGTGGGAAGTAGGGGTGTTGAAGGTGCTGCAGCACCCCCTGACAAATTAAAATGTTTCCAAAATTATATATTTACTCCTGTCTCAACACTGACTGAATTTGGGCAGCACATGTGCCAAATATCGAACAGCTTGTTGTGTTGCAGCCATAGAAATATAATCCATAGAACCCAGCTAACACATAACGTTCTGAGAACCATATGTTTCTTAGAGTTTGGTGAGAGCGTGGTTGTACTATGGTTATTTAGCATACAACCTTCCCATAACGTTTCATACTGGTTCCCTCACGGTTCTATTTAAAGTAATGTTCTCCAAATTGTTCACATTAAGAAACAACGTTCTTCTGTGGGAATTTCAGTACTTCAGTATAACATTTTCTACAGGTTTCCTCATGGTTAATTTAAAGTCATGTTCTCAGAACATTAAAACTTTCCATAAAAACCACAAAACATTGGTAACGTTCAAAGAACGTTCTAAGAATGTTATTTTAAAACATACATTCCGTTCTCAGCATCAACAAAACTCTCTCTATCCTCTATTTACATTTTTAATCATTTAGCAGACGCTCTTATCCAGAGCGACTTACATGAGCAATTAGGGTTAAGTGCCTTGCTCAAGGGCACATCGACAGATTTTTCACCTAGTCGGCTCGGGGATTAGAACTAGCGACCTTTTGGTTACTGGCACAACGCTCTTAACCACAAAGATCTTAATGAGTGCTTGTTTCCTTTGAAATAGGGTCTGTTTGAATAGACTAAAATAAACAGCTTTGTATGAGTAAAAAAAACATGGCATGCTAGCTTCATCCTGGTGGCGCAGTGGACTAATTCCATGGAAAAGAGAAGATGATCATAGGTTTGAATCTCACTGACGCCACGCCACAATGTTTGCATGATTAATGCCTAAGCAAATTAATTTATATGTGTCCTATCTGTGCTTGGAGTTCAAAACAGTTAACCCAAACTAAGTTAGCAGTGTTATTAAGTCTTATTGAAATGTTCACAGAACGTTATTTAACTACCCTAAAAAAAATCATTTCTGTTGTCAGAACTTTAATAAAACCTTCCAGGAAAACTTTCAGGGAACCACAGAAAGACCTAAAAATGTACATTCCCAAAACAGGCGAAATTGTCACTTCCTTTCTCAGAACATTACATTAAAAAAAAAAGTTTTAACAGTCAGGAAACGTATGGTTTCATTCCCAGAACCAAAAACGTACGTTCCCACAACTTCCAAGGAACCAAATATGCTTGCTGGGAAGGGTTTTGGAAGCTCACCCTAGTAATTTGACTGTCAGTCCTGTCTTGAATAGAGTACCACAGTATGAGTCATAATACCCATAAAACCTAGCAGTCAAACAGGGAAATGGTTCCAATCGTTTTTCCACCATTTATTTTTCCCATATTGGATTTTAGAAACACTTTAAATAAGGGCTGTGTTTTGTGTAGGCTTACCCTGGTGTGAAGTTTTGATAACAGTGTAAATCTCTCTAGGACAGGGTGACTTTTATCAATATATTCACCTGTATTTACCCCCCAAAAATGAAATGCTAACGTGGCTATCATAAAGAACTACAAATGCCATGATGGTCTGGACAAGACTGCCGAATTGAGGCAAAGGTAGGAATCTCTGGATTAACTATCTGTTAGCTAAATGTATACTGAACAAAAATATAAACGCAACATGCAACAATTTCATTGATTTTACTGTTACAGTTCATATGAAGAAATCAGTCAATTGAAATTCATTAGCTGCTAATCTATGGATTTCACATGACTGGGAATAGAGATATGCGTCTGTTGCTCACAGATACCTTAAAAAAATGGGCCTCAGGATCTTGTCACAGTATTTTTGTGTATTCAAATTGCTATAGATAAAATGCAGTTGTGTTTGTTGTCCGTAGCTTATGCCTGCCAATACCATAACCCCACCGCCACCATGGGGCACTCTGTTCACAACATCGCCCACCTGACGCCATACACGTGGTCTGAGGTTGTGAGGCTGTTTGGACGTACTGCCATGTTCTCTAAAATGACGTAGTAGGTGGCTTATGGTAGAGAAATGAACATTCAATTCTCTGGCAACAGCTCTGGTGGACATTCCTTATGTCAGCATGCCAATTGCACGCTTCCTCAAAACTTGAGGCATTGTGTTGTGTGACCAAACTGCACATTTTAGCGTAGCCTTTTATTGTCCCCAGCACAAGGTGCACCTGTGTAATGATCATGCTGTTTAATCAGTTTCTTGATTTGCCACACCTGTCAAGGTGGATGGATTATCTTGGCAAAGGAGAAACGCTCACTAACAGGGATGTAAACAAATATGTGAACAAAATCTGAGCGAAATAAGCTTTTTGTGCGTATATACATTTCTGGGATCTTTTATTTCAGCTCATTAAACATGGGACCAACACTTTACATGTGGGTGTGTCTTGTTGCTCCTGACCATCTCTTATAGCAAGGCTGCAGTAGGGGTCTGCAAGGACTCCCTCAGATAGGACTCATGGCTGTTGATCAACTGGTTCAATCTGTTGGTCATGCTCCTAACCCCCAACTCTCTCTCTCCATGAGTTCCTAACTACAAACAACTACAAACATAGTCAAGTTGTCTGTTTGTTCGTAGACATGCCAGTCTGGTATAGGGCTACTGGAGCTTGGTCATCTAATCTTGTAGTCTGTTGAAATTCTCAGTCAGGGAAAGGGAAACAATTGACTTGGGCAGTAGTGAAGGAACATGCTGGCGCATGCCACCTGGTGGTGGAGTTGAAATAATGAACAAATTCACAAGATGGAAATTTAACTAATTCTGGGTAGTTGAGGAACAGAATTTGTCTAATTTTGAATTTTTGTAAAAATGTGTTCTGAAAACGGCAATATTGTCAACCATCTTGTGTCTGCTTTGTAACAGAATGTGATTTAGTCCTTCCTCATGAGAGCTGAGCAGCCTGCCATCTCATTTAGAGCTACACATACACAATCCATGTCTCAAGGCTTAAAAATCCTTCTTTAACCTGTATCTTCCCCTTCATCTACACTGATTTGAAGTCGATTTAACAGGTGACATCAATAAGGGATCATAGCTTTCACCTGGATTCACCTGGTCAGTCTATGTCATGGAAAGATCAGGTGTTCATAATGTTTTGTACACTCAGTGTAGATTGTGTATGCTGCCACAGTGCCTATCATAACCACCAGAGAGCAGTCTCTTCCCATGTAATGGTATAGTAGTCGATGGGTGGGGTACACTGTCCCTGACTCTGTGCTGTTAGCACTCATAGTCTGAGAATGGTATACCGATGTCGACTTTCTAAATGTCAACCTGACCTACCTTTTTTGTCCTTTCCTGTATATGTTATGTTAAGATCAATTTGTTTTAAGCTTCTATTTCAGACTCCAGTAGGCTACACATGCAGGTCTGTAAGTGGTACCACTGAGGAACATGTTTATCCGGTGCAACATCTGTGCAACATAAAGGGCTTGTCTTGTCTTATCTCCTTCCACAAGGGGAGATCAGTGGGCTGTTGTTTATATAGTACTAATACTATGGTCACCGGATTGCATCTGAATTGAAATGAAAGCGAAGAGGAGAAAGGACACAATGTTTTTTTTTCTCTCCAGATCTTACATGATCTTTGTCTGGAAACAGATGTGATCCTGCCCGACATCTCCAGAGTGGCGTACTCAGTGACAGAACAGACGTCAGTAGTGACACAGAGTAGAACAGTGGGTGACTCGGGTGCCGAATCCAAACACCACAACACAGATTCCCTGTACTCTAGCTCTGGCCATCAGACCCATCATAACTGATCTCTGACTCTGCGTCCCTTCTCTCAACCCCTCCCCCCATCTTCCCTATCCATCTTTTATCTCTCTATCCCTCTCTCTCTTTCTCTCTGTCTTTCTGTGTCCCTCCTCTACTCTTCTCTTCATCCATACCACCAGTGTTTCAGGACACTGTGCTGCAAAGGACCGCCCTCTCCCAGACCTGAGTATGACCTGGTGTGTATTGGACTCACCGGCTCAGGGAAGACCAGTCTACTGTCCAGACTCTGCAGTGAAGCCACAGACAACATCGGGCCAACCACGGGTGAGACTCGCTTCACCAGAAGAAATCACTTTTCAAGTCCAAATGCTCCTTACACAGATAGGCCTATACCACGTTTTTTTGCAGTACAACATTCAAGTATACCATGCACTGAAACATTTAACCATCAGTAGTTAAGTGGTGAGCATTCAGACATCTTCCCTACCTGCTGAAAGAACAGGATATAAGCCTTTCCCAACACATGTGCATGTGCTTTAGGCCTACATGTGCTGAATACATGTGCTTTCTCTTGCCGCTTATTAAGCAAGGTCTGCCATATCTCCCCGTGTGAAGCTTTACATGTCATTCTCTTTTCTAGGTTTTAGCATCAAAGCTGTTCCATTCCAGAATGCCGTTCTAAACGTGAAGGAACTCGGAGGTAATTCCTTCACCTATTTTCGTTCGTGATGGAAACGCGTTGTTCAAGTTTTTGGGGTACTCAGGTTTTCTAGTTCAGTGGGCAAAACGTTTTTGAAAAGTAATGGGTCTTATTGTTGGACAAGTATAGATGGGACTTCCTCCATTTCAAAAAGTGTTCTCCCATTCCTTGCGAACTGAACATAACCCTAGCTATATACACTCCAGCAATATCAGAACATTCCCATATATATGAACCCCCAAAGGATCTAAAACAATGTTCATCAACTTTTCCTTTGCTAGCTAAATATTAGAGTCCCCTAAAATAGTAAATGTTATTGAGACCTTGAATGACACACATCCTGTATAGAGATGAGTCGTAGTTATCTCTCCACTTTGATGAAGAAAGCAATGTGTCGGACAGACACGACACGCAAATGAAGTAGCCAACACATTCACTCAAATGTCACTCGCCCGCTGGGTGTGCAACTGTGTGGGTCAGAGAGGCAGTAATGCGTAAGTCCTTTCTGCGGTATACATGTGTTTGTGTGTGCCTGTGCCTGTGTGGACTGGGCCATATGACATCATTGGTGTGTACAGCGACTCTCCCTTAGTTCCAGACAGGGATACCCTAGCTGCTGTTTAGTTCTGTTCGCCGGGGGGGGGGGGGGGTCTGTTTTGTCTTTTTAGTTCTGTCACTAAATAATGAATCATTGGGTGTCTCTGGGAGTTAGGGAGACAGGACTGTGGTGGTTGAATCTGATCTGTGAGATGTTTGCAGGTCACCAGGTCATACAGCGCTGTGTATTGTTTCTGTTTGGCTCTGTCTTTATCTCCCTGACAGTAGTCGTGTCTGTCTGCTAGGGATTGTAGTGTTTTTGGTTCGTCTGCCCTCTGGCTGAGATGTTTTTGGTTGGTCTCTGTGATGTTTTCGGTCTGTGTGTGTCTTTATGAGAGATGAGATGGGAGTTCAAAACAGAGGGATTCCTCACAGCCTGTTTCTCGTCAGTGGGATGATGACATCATGCTGTCTGTATGTCTGTCTGTCTGTCTGTCTGTGGCTCTTTCTCTATTAATATTTCCTCGATTCCTCACATCATCTCTCCATGCACACCTCTTTTCCCAAAAGAAGGTCAGAGGGGGGGACCTTCTCCTCCAATACAGTTGACAAGGAGTTGAGGAAACAGGATGTGAGGAATCGTGTAAAGAAAAATGAAGATAGGGTCTTTGAGATATTGTCTGTGTACCAGGTCGGTGGGTGGATCGCACCAGGGAAGGACTTCTCAGCTCTGATGCTCTAGTGCCTCAAGTACTCCCAACAGTACACGTTTTCGTTATAGCCCTGGACAAACTCACCTCAATCAACACATTGAGGGCTTGATGATTAGTTGAATCAGGTGTGCTTGTCCAGGGTTACAATAAAAATGTGTACTGTTGGGGGTACTCGAGGACCAAGGTTGGGAAACACTGCTCTAGTGTAAACCAGACCAGTGATGTGTCCCAAATGGCACCCTATTCCCAATGGGCCCTGGTTAAAAGTAGTCCATTATATAGGGAATAGAGTGCCATTTGTGATGCACAAAGTGTGTAGCAGCCAGCCAGTCAGTGTGTAGCAGCCAGTTAGTCAGTGTGTAGCAGCCAGTTAGTCAGTGTGTAGCAGCCAGTTAGTCAGTGTGTAGCCTAGGCATCTGAAAACACTAATCTCACACCATGCATGATGTCATAGCATTTGTGGAAAATGTGGTTTCTATTATTGTCACACGTGATTGTAATGCAATATGTTTTCTGGTAAACTGGCTTGTGGTCATGTTTTCTGTTCATCTAAAGTTACATATATACACTGAGTAGACAAAACACCTGATCTTTCCATGACATAGACTGACCAGGTGAATTCAGGTGAAAGCTATGATCCCTTATTGATGTCACTTGTTAAATCCACTTAAATCAGTGTAGATTAAGGGGAGGAGTCAGGTTAAAGAAGGATTTTTAAGCCTTGAGACAATTGAGACATGGATTGTGTATGTGTGCCATTCAAGACAAAACATGTAAGTGCCTTTTAAACGGGGTATGGTAGTAGGTGCCAGGTGCACCGGTTTGTGTCAAGAACTGCAACGTTGCTGGGGTTTTCACACTGCAGTTTCCTGTGTGTATCAAGAATGGTCCACCACCCAAAGGACATCCAGCCAACTTGACACAACTGTGGGAAGCATTGGAGTCAACATGGGCCAGCATCCCTGTGGAATGCTTTCGATACATCGTAGAGTCCATGCCCCAACGAATTGAGGCTGTTCTGAAGGCAAAGGGGGTGCAACTCAATATTAGGAAGGTATTCTTAATGTTTTGTAGATTACCAAAAGTTTGTGGACACCTGCTTGTTGAACATCTCATTCCAAAATCATGTGCATTAATATGGAGTTGGTCCCCCCGCTTTGCTGCTATTACAGCCTCCACTCTTCTGGGAAGGCTTTCCACTAGATGTTGCAAAATTTCTGCGGGGACTTGCTTCCAATCAGCCACAAGAGTATTAGTGAGGTCGGGCACTGATGTTGGGCGATTAGGCCTGGCTCGCAGTCGGCATTCCAATTAATTCCAAAGGTGTTCGATGGGGTTGAGGTCAGGGCTCTGTGCAGGCCAGTCAAGTTCTTCCACACCGATATCGACAAACCATTTCTGTATGGAACTTGCTTTGTGCAAGGGGGCATTGTCATGCTGAAACAGGAACAGGCCTTCCCCAAACTGTTGCCACAAAGTTGGAAGCACAGAATCATCTAGAATGTAATTGTATGCTGTAGCGTTAACATTTCCCTTCACTGGAACTAAGGGGCCTAGCCCGAACCATGAAAAACAGCCCCAGACCATTATTCCTCTTCCAACAAACTTTATAGTTGGCACTATGCATTAGGGAAGGTAGCATTCTCCTGGCATCCGCCAAACCCAGAATCGTCCGTCGGACTGCCAGATGGTGAAGCGTAATTAATCACTCCAGAGAATGCATTTCCACTGCTCCAGAGTCCAATGGCGGCGAGCTTTACACCACGCCAGCTGACGCTTGGCATTGCGCATGGTGATCTTAGACTTGTTTGTGGCTGCTCGGCCATGTAAACCCATTTAATGAAGCTCCGGACAAACAGTTCTTGTGCTGACGTTGCTTCCACAGGCAGTTTGGAACTCGGTAGTGAGTTTTGCAACTGAGGACAGACGATTTTTACGTGCTACGCGCTTCAGCACTCAGCGGTCCTGTTCTGTGAGTTTGTGTGGCCTACCACATTGCGGCTTAGCCGTTGTTGCTCCTAGATGTTTCCACTTCACAATAACAGCACTTACAGTTGATCGGGGCAGCTCTAGCAGGGCAGAAATGTGATGAACTGACTATGACGGTGCCACGTTGAAAGTCACTGAGCTCTTCAGTAAGGCCATTCTACTACCAATGTTTGTCTATGGAGATTGCATGGCTGTGTGCTCGATTTTATACACCTGTCAGCAACGGGTGTGGCTGAAATAGCCCGAATCCACTAATTTGAAGGGGTGTCCACATACTTTTGTACATACATACTGTGGCGTACAGCAGGTCAGCCACCAGGGGGAGACTCGTCGAGGCCTGGTAACAGATGGAGTAGAGCGTCTGCTAAATTACTTAAATGTAATGTAAATTAGTATACATCACGAGGCGGTGGCTCCATCTGCTGGACGTGCCAGGTCTCAACGGGCACTCCGGACAGGACTAATTAAGGGCGGATTGCTCACCAGCTGTGCAAGGCCCATAAAGCTGCCAGAAGCGCAGCACATGGGGGAGTACTGGGGGAAGTAAGATAACTTCTGTGTAGTTGGAGACGTTATCCTGGAGAGGGTCTCATGGGGGAGACCTATCCTTTTATTTTGATTATTTTATTAATAAACACCCTTGAAACCGAGCTAATTATACTCTGTCCGTGTCTGATCTGTGTAAACGTCTTGACCCAACACCCTGATCTGCCACAAGTGGTGGAGAATGCGGTCATCTTGATAACGTGGTCAGATCAGGGTTGACGTTTACACAGCATCAGCATGGACGAGTTGATAGCTCAGTTCGTCCGGGTCCAACAAGCACAACAGGCGGTTCAGCAACGAACGCTGGAGGAACAGCGACTACAAAACGTCCGCCTCGTGGAGGAAGTCAGGAAGCTGCAAGGAGGAGCGTCTCCTGAATCCCATCCCAACCAGTTTTTAATCAAGCTAACCGAAGACGATGACATTGAAACATACCTCTGTACGTTTGAATGGACAGCGCTATGGGAAGGATGGCCAAGGCTGAAGTGGGCAAGTCTGCTGGCCCCGTTCCTCTCTGGGAATGCCCAAAAGGCATATTGGGACCTGAACAACGAACAGGCGGCAAACTACAACAGACTCAAATGGGAGATACTCAGCCGCTACGGGTACAGCCTGGCCCATCGGGCTCAACGGTTCCACGACTGGAGGTTCGTACCCGACGCATCCCCCCGAGCCCAGATGAGCGACCTTCTGCGCGTCACCAGGGCATGGATCCTAACCAACGTATCCACCCTCTCCATCCTCGACAAAGTGGTCCTGGATCGCTTCGTACGGGCGCTACCCCACGACATGAAGAGAGCAGCGAGCCTATGTGCGCCCCAGACTTTGGAGGGCCTCCTGGAAGCAGTGGAGACGCATCAGAACACTCAGGCCCTACTGAGGGGGAGCCGGGACGAGTCTGCGACCTGTGCGAGGGGACGGAAGGACAACCCCACCACGGTGTACCCTGAACCGACAGTCGGCAGGGCCAAGGGGCAGCAAACCCGTGGAGAGACGGCTGGGGAAGGGCGGACCCGCCACCGACGACCCCAGGTAGATGGAGACCAACAGAGGTGTTTTGAGTGTGGCGCCCGGGGGCACATTGCCTGGATTTGCCCTGCTCGAGAGGAGTTGATGCCACCAGGTGGGTCACGCCGTGAACTATGTCACCTCCTGTTGGGCGCACCGTGAATCAACGGCACTCTTGGTCCCGGTGAAGGTTGACGGACACGACACGGAAGCCCTATTTGACTCCGGAAGCATGG